AAACAAGCCATATTTAGAGATTAGTTCAAAATTCTAATGTTGTACCACTAGTCTAGCTGTTTGAAACCATTCATGGACAAAGTTAGGCAGATGTTGCTAATACAGAATACACAGTAAGCGTATACGACCAGAACTCTTGCATGCTGAGAACATGCATCAGCAACCCGGTCTCATTCCGAAGTCGTCGAAATCTGGCACGTGGGCAGTGACTTGCAGCATCAGACACTGATGAAAAAGTCATCCCTAAACCTTGGCGTGATGAGCGTCTGGTTGCTGTTATAGTTTAACAGTGCTCTGCGGCATCAGGGGGAAACGCAGTGAGACAAGAACAACAGTTAGGGCGGCGAAAGTCTGTATAGAACAGGCGGGAGAGGTGGTGGATGGGTCCTGTAAGGTTCTAAAACCAAACCGTGTTCTTTTTTCCTAAACCAAACCATGTGCGTTAGTTGTTGGAGGAAAAACTACATCAATTCGTGTTGTTGTACTGACGTAGCGCGTTTATTCTGAAAAAAGACAATGCATGTAACAGGCAGAACTTGACACCAGAACATGTGCCAGAACATCAACAACCAACGCACCAAGGGTACCTTTCATGTCGTTCTGGTCCATGACCAAACGTCAATATGTGACAAGGTCGGAGTGAGAATGTGTTGGCACCAGTGCACCCTCAGACCTATATCATCTTTAATACCTGCCCTTTAAACCTTTCCAATAAATTGAAGCTGACTTGGTTGGTAAATATGTGACTGTCTTGCCACGTCCAGTTCATCAGGTTCACCTGTGTCTAATAAGTGACATTTGTACTGCAGAGTGGAGACACTGCTGAAGGCTGGATGGCTGACAAGACAAACAGTTTGTTGTCGTGTCTGCTGTGTCTTCTCACCATTGAACTCTGCTCTCTCCTATTAGCATTGAGCCTTAGACAGCAGAAGGCTTTGGTACAAGGTTTGAGTTTCCCAAATAATCATTACCCAACAGTGCCAAGGGGAGTGACCAGAAACCTGACCGAGTCTTTGTTGAAGATGTGTTTGAAGCTGTCAGAGATTTAAATATGACACCCTTCTTTTTCGTTTCATAAACAACTGGCCAAAGAGGTCCATCTCTCTGTAAATAAAGGATAACAGTGATTAATGACAGTAGAATAAAAAAGAGGAGACAATAGCATGAGGACAAGACAGCCAGTGTCGTGCCTATCACAGATCGGTTTCAGTCTCACCTCTAAACTCTGCTTGTGCTTTTTTTTCCTTCTTTTTTTCACTTTTTGTTGTGTTTTTCCCTTAATGATGTCAATCATGCCTTTATAGTACCACAACTGTATGAACTCCTCCTTTGAATTCTGAGTATCAGAACCAGAATGAGCACCATAACCATAATCAGCAATTTGATTTTAGTTAGTTATTTAGATTGATAATTATCCAGATGGTATTTAGTTAGTTAGTTAATTAGTTAATATCTAAAAACATGAACTTTTTTCTATACATATTGTAAAGTCGGTGTTGCGTTTGTGAATGTTCTTGCTGAGCTGTCTGATGCTGATGATGTTTAAAGACAAATTCATTACCTCCATCTAGTGGTGGGAGTGTAAAAAACAACAACAAAAAGTAAAAAATAAATTCAGTGTAATTATTGCTGTTTAAAATAACCTACTGGATAAATTCATTTAAACAGTAAAAAACAAAAACAGTGCTGGATCAGATGAACAGAATGGTTTCTTCCACATTCAGATTCAGATAAATGGAGATTATAGTTTCCAGTATGTGTGAACATGAGTGTACCTGCCTATCTGTGTGTAAGGAACGAGAATGTGTGAATGAGAAGTGTAATCCACAGAGATTAAGACAAGGCTAAATTCAGTACTGAAGCAGAGTAATTATCTAAGAAAACAGGATTAGTATATATACTACAATAAATAAGGGACAAACCTATCTCACACAGGTTTATCAGTGAGAATGGTGAGGATAAAATTTGGGTAATAGGGTCTGAAACAGCATATAACACTAATCCAAGAGAGAGAAAGACAGAGAGACGGAGAGTGAAGGGGTTAAGGTGAGAATAGGCTGACAGATGGCCTCACTAAGCTGCCGGTGCTGCCAGGTTTTTATCTGCACTGTAACTGTTTGGATCAGGGCAATTAGCCTCGCACCGCAGGAACACGACAGAAGCAGAGCAAGAACAGAGAGGAGTAATGTGACAGAGCAACACCGTCACCAGGAATGGACAACTGATCTACACTGGTCTTAATTAAACAGATTCATGACCCACATGGAGCTGGACAGTCCTCTAGAAGACTGGCCAGAGTCTCTGGACATTTTTGGGTCAGCTTGGCTGGATGCGCTCGGCATGTCCAGAGCAGGAAATAACTGGTCTGTTTGTCTGAATCTTGTAGAACATCTGTGTCTGGATCTGGTGAGCCAGATGGACTGTTTACTGGAGCACCGAGCCGTGTGTGTCAACGTGCTGGGCCCTCTGTACGCTGATGACCCATATGTCTGGATGTTCCTTCACAACTGAAACGGACTGAAGAGGTTGTTGCTTTTTCAGCTTTGTCAACTGGGAAACATTTGGACCACGGGGTAACTCAAAAGTCTCCATCACAACAGATGCATCTTCTGGAGTGCAGAGTGTCCACTTTACACTTTTAAGTTGCCTCTGGTTTAATGAGCAATGGACATTATAGAATGACAGCAAAGGTGACAGCACTGGCATCAGAACATCTCCACATTTTGATTTATTTTGGGGAAAATGTGAGCTAAATCAGCTTGTCTCCTTTGATAATTTTGAAGATAAATTGAAGGATTGTTGGTATTTACATCTGCAGCCAGCAATCACAGACTAAATATTGTATTTAAAAATGCAGAGGTAACTGAAGAGAGATGTTATAAATATAAATAATTTAAAAAACTATGTACAAGATCAGTTATTTTCATTGTATAAAAATTAATCGGGAACATGACTTGATTGTATTTGGATTGACAGGACTGAATGTTCATCTCACATGGCAGAAGCAGAAGACAATCATCTGTCAAGATTCATGCATTTTTGGCTAATGACAACTGGAAGCAGATCATTTTAGCTGTTTATCTGAACTTAATGCCAGTTTGGAGCCTCACAGGATGTGTAATGTACTGTATGTTTAACTGTGTGATGTAATTCAATATGTGTGAATCTGAATGAGATGAGAAACTGAAACAATAGTTTGCACCACTGCGATGAAATATCATAATGTGATGAAATCTGAAAAATGTATTGTGTTTGAACATATTTGACTACATCCTCATTTCACAAATGTCAGTGTTCACTTCATTACCATGCAGGGCTTTAATCTTTATCTTATCTTATCATCATATCTTGCAACAATCTACACACAATATTCTTTTCACCGTTATTCGAAATGGCAGATTTCTATCACGTCTCCTTCTCATTTATTGTTACCAATTTTACATACAGTGGCTTCAGGAAGTATTCAGACCCCTTCACTTTTTACACTTTATTGTGTTGAATATGTCATTTTTAAATGAATAAAATTGCCATCTTTACCAATCAGTCTACACTAAATAAACCATAATGTCAAAGTGAAAATGTGCTTTTTGCAATATTTTACAAATATATTAAATATGAAAAACTGGTCTCTCATTTACCTCTCATTTCAAGTATTCAGACCATTCAGACCTGTTGCTGTGGCACTCCAAATTGTGGTCAGGTGCATCCTGTTTCCTTTGATCGACCTTGAGAAGTATCTACAGCTTGACTGGAGTCCACCTGTGGTAAATCACATTGATTGTACATAGTTTAGAAAGTAACAAATCACATCAGCATTATTACCAACATTTGTAACGACATTATTAAAAATCACAAAGAATAATGTCCAGGGCTGAATTAACCCTCTGTTGGATCATGGGGTAAAAAATAAGATGTGGGCCCCTATTAGCTGCCGCCCTCCTTCTGGTCCCCACAAACCACTGACTGTAGGCTCTGACACCAAATACTGTTCCTACAATTGAATACTGCCTTTCCTCGTGTTTGATTCACGATAACATGAGTACCGTAAAACTTCAACTAAAAGCTTAGTCCCAATTAAACTCATAGTCCCTTTCACTTGCCCGGTGTGGCTACACATTTTGGTTGCCAAGCAGTTCAGTTTTTTTTTTTACAGTGGTTCTTCTGATGTATAAAACCGGGTTAATTGCTACCTCAAATTATATGTGCATTCCTCAATTACCCTGAGAGTTATTCCTATCCCTTTAGTCCGTAAGGGTCGAAAGAATCAAAAGGGTTTTTCATGAAAGTTAATCCAAGTTGTGAGTATTGTTTTAACAGGATAAGGTGGTGTTGTGTCAGGTGCCGTAACTCCCTCTATCTCTGATGTGCTGTCTGTCTGAGCAAGATCAAATTAAGGATTCATAATTGATGTGTTATCTTGAGCCTAATTTTTTTACAAGTATACTAAGCAACAGTTTTGTGTTAAAGTAATTTAAGGCCTGTCCTGTATAGACGCTTGTCCAAAGTATAGGCTCGTTTATTTCAGTGATTTAAGCAAATAATAGCCCAGGCCATTAATTAAAGTTTATATATATACCTTGTGAATTTCGCCCTGGGGATCAATTAAATTTAATTAATACATCATGACGTATTTGTTGATTACATGTAGCACTAATCTTAATTTAGAAAATAACATGACTTATCAAAAAAAAATAATATTTGCCTCTGAATTGTATACTGCAGTATTCTGTGAGCAGAATATAAAAAATAAATAAAGTGATTACATGAAAGTAAGGAGACTACACATGTCCCTCAAAACCTGAGCAGGATAAATGCACTAACCTTCCATCAGTGAAGTAGCTGAAAGTTACACCGAGACAATATTTAGCAATATGTTTGTGAAATATCACGGTGCCAGTGAGGGTCCCCGTGCCTGGTTTCCTGTTTGAGACGTCATGACTCGCCTACATTACCCAGAACTCCTCGATGCGCAGAGAGAGCGCACGCCGTGTGGATATTACGTAATGTAGTTTCAAAGGTTGTGTACAGTTGTCGACTGCACGTCTGAGGAACACGATGTGACAGAAGATTCAGACAGTTTTTCTGCTTCACAAGCTTCAGTGTGAGAGGATAAACTTATCAGGTAAGAGCTGCTGCCTGTGGATAATGTAGTCTGAGACTGTTTGTTTACCGAGTGGATCTGAACACACGAGCTGAACAAGAATGAGAGCGTCCTGCTTTGTTAGTAGGAATTAAACATGACCACAGGGCATGGATGACAGAAATTATGAAAAATATTTAGCAGTTACCTCAATTCAGCTCTTGAATGTAAAAATAAATGAGATGGTTACTAGAAAAAAAGCACAATAATATAGAGTTGACATTTGTAGGAACATTTTGAACCACACCTTCTTTATTATCACTGAATTAATGTCATTTTCTATCACTGTGTGACCACACTGTTTGTTTTCACTGTTTGAACGTCCAGTTACTAGATTATAAAGGAACTGCCCCACCTGTGTGTTTGCAAGGATTGGGCTGTCTTTTTTTATGTAGCATGCTTTTCAGTTTTAGAATTGTGGAAATACATTTCTGATCATTACAGACGCATCTTGATAATAGTTTATTTTTTTTCCTCATGAAAATTGATAACACTGCTTCAGCTTTGTAAATCAATACAGTCTGCATCAGTTGTTGTTATACAGTTACATTATTGTTGTTTGGCACTGAACTTTAAAATGCTAATTTAAAAAGCTTGCATGACATTAAGGATCCAGTGTGAAGGGTTTATGAAGATATTTTGGCAGAAATTGAATGTAATATAGTAAGTATATTTTCATTAGTGTCTAATCACCTAAAATACAAATTGTTGTGTTTTCCTACCTCGGAATGAGCTGTTTATGTCTAACCCAGAGTGGACAAAGCCAAACACTGGCTCCACATTGGGCCATCCACCTTTTCCCGTTTGCTGTCATAGTTAGAGGTCCATCTGCAATGAGCAGCATTGGAAAAACACCGATTTGTGACATGAAACTTTGTTTTATTCTGTGTGTTAATCACTAGTCTGTTTGTTTTGGAGAAGAGGAGACCTCTGCGGATAACTCAGCTCCTGGTAAAACCTCCTCAATGTCTGAATCTCAAGTTATCAGAGATAAAAAAAAAAAGTGAGCACACATTGGCATGCCTTTGGCAAGCCGTTTGTCATCAACATGCCAAATAGCATTGGACTGAAGAAACACCAATTTGTAAGGTGAAATGGCTTTATTCTGTTTTTTGTACCGGTTTTATTCAGCTGGTCCGATCATTCCAGAGAGGTAGACACCTCTGCAGATAATTTGGCTCCTGGTAACACACACCTGAATGATGAACGTTGAAGAAATTCTAACCAGGAGATGTTTCAGCTGGTTGCAGTGTGCAATCCTCACCACTAGATGCTAAACCCCCCTAAATCTTACACACTTAACCTTTAACCTAGAACATACAAGAGTCTGCTAACAGATTTCCAAATTTAAGAGATATTAATGAAAAGTCTGTAACAATAGAAATATATTCAGATTTCTAAAAAAACATGCATTATTTGCAGAATGCTGATGTATAATGTGAAATACATGTGATTTGTAGAACATGGGCTAAAACAGAGATACTCAGCTTGCTTTGCATGGGGGCCATTTCTTCAAAATGGCCAGTTAAGACACAGACATTAATAATGTTTATCAGTATGATAAATGAATTGCCAGTTTTGATCATCTCAATAGTTGCTCTCTTCACTCATCTTGCCAAGAGGCAAATCAAATCAAGCAGCCCTACACAGCCTGTCACATCAGCCCCGCACAGGTCAGGTCAGGTCAGGCAGGGGTGATTCTATCATTATGTGGCTAGCAGGCAGCTCAGCACCCTGTGGCATGCCAGATTTAAGTTGAGTATCACTGTGCTAAAACATGCAAAAACACTGGTATGGTCCTTTAATTTTTTAACTGTCTAACTTTATCTGTCTTCTTTATTTTTATTCTTTACCTCTTTTCCTCAATCCTCCTGTTCTCTCCCTGCTCACCTCCTAACCTCATCGCTTTATCATGTCTGTGTTCTGAGTGTTGAGGTCAAACTGTTTCTTGTTATCCAGCAGATAAGAGCTGCTGTCCAATCAGTTTGTCTCTGTTTATCTCTCTCCTCCAGTCTGTCATCATGAGGCCTTGACGTCTGGCTGTTCATTCATCACTATGAGTGGCACTGCGTTGGCTGTTGTGGTCGTGGTCGTTTTCCTCTTGGCCGTCTACCTCCTCCAGCGCTATGGAGATTTGCGGAAGCAGCAGCGGCTGGTCCTGTTGGGGACGCTGCTCTCCTGGTACCTCTGCTTCCTCATCGTCTTCATCCTGCCGCTCGATGTCAGCACGGTATGCAACCATCGCAGCTGTTTAAATGTGTCAGCATGAGGTCATTTTGCCATGGTAACCATAGCTGTTAGGATCCTCTCAGGATAAAAACAGGATCAATGGGATGTGAATGTGTTTGTGTTTTTGAGAATATTCTGTGTCCAAGTGATTTCAAGTGCTGCGTGATTATTTATCTTGCCTCTGGCGTCTTACCTGCCCCAGTGTGATGTGCTTCACCTTGGAGTGTGTGTGCCTGACTGTGTAAACTCTGCTCCTCTTTCAGACCATCTACAAGCAGTGTATCCATGACAATTCAGACCACCCTACTCCTGTAACTCGAGCAAGAGGCGCTAATCAGACAGACGACAGCTCCTCTGTTTATCCACCTGTCAGGTAAATAAGATAACGTTTGATTTATTGGCACTGTTTGCTCAATGAATCATTTATCAACAGCCAAGCTCCACATGGGTTTGGACTGATTTAACATAGTTGACCTAAGTGAAGTTCATTTTCCATTGCTATGGTAACAACTTCAATGTTTGGTTCACTCAATTATTCTTATTCGTTATCTAGCCATGCAAATAGTGGTGTTATCATGTGTCCAAGTTTTCAGACATTCTTGTCTGAGATTTCTGCCTCCACCCTAATAGAATAAAGTTTCATGGAATTCCATTTATGAAGCTCACAGTAGTGAAAGATAACATTTATGAGACTGTCTTTCCATAATCAGTACTCCTTTTAAACTGGGTCTACTCAGTTTTTATTGATTCATCCCTGGATTCCCAGGCCAGATGAGATATGTAATCCCTCTAGCGTGTTCTGGGTATGCCCCAGGGCCTCCTACCAGTTGGATGTGCCTGGAACACCTCTAACAGGAAGTGCCCAGGAGGCATCCTGATCAGATGCCCAAACCACCTCAAGTGACCCCTTTCAACATGAAGGAGCAGCAGCTCTACTCCGAGCTCCCTCCAGATGTCCGAGCTCCTTACCCTGTCTCTAAGGCTGAGCCCAGCCACCCCACGGAGGAAACTAATTTCGGCCACTTGTGTCCATAATCACGTTCTTTCGATTACTACCCAGAGTTCATGACCATAGGTGAGGGTTGGGACATAGATGGACCAGTAAATCAAAAGCTTTGCCTCCACATTTTTATTGATACAACTTCATACTGAAAAAAAGTATCTCACACACACACAGACACATGCACAGGATCTATAGACATGCTTTAATGGAGAGATGTCAGAGCACGGGTGCTGCCCATGGACAGGCGCCCCCCAGCAGTTGGAGGACATTACTGCAGTTCAGAGTGTGTTTTTGCACTGTAATGACACTGTGTGTGCATTGTGTGCTCACATTCTTTGGTGTGTGTGTTACAGTACACTAAAGGTTTGTGAGGAGCCATGGAGTTACATCCCAGATGGCGTCCTACCAGTGTTCTGGAGAGTTGTATACTGGACCTCCCAGTTTCTTACTTGGTACGATACTCACACACACACACAACCTCTCAGTCACTTACTCTAACCTCGATTTTACGTACTGTATGTTCCACCTTTGCCGTGAAGATAACTGTGTTTTGGTATACTGACCCTCTCTTCTGTGTGTGTGTACACAGGCTGCTGTTACCTTTCATGCAGTCGTACGCACGGTCAGGAGCTTTCTCCAGAGTTGGGAAGATTAAAACAGCTCTTATAGAAAATGCAATCTATTATGGCACCTACCTCCTTATCTTCATCTCTCTGCTCATCTACGTGGCTGCTCACCCACGGTGGGAACTGTCATGGTGAGTCAAATGTGCCTCAGCTCAGCAAGCATTAGATGACCTGTTGGAGAAAGTTGTTCTGTGGTTGTGTTTCTAAGCTGGTGTCATGTCAGTGCATTGATTTATCTGTATAACTCATGCAGGAGACAGCTCCAGACCATCGGCATTACAGCTGCCAACACCTGGGGTCTCTTCCTGCTGGTGCTGTTGCTGGGCTATGGCCTGGTGGAGATCCCCCGTTCTTATTGGCTGTCGTCTTCCCGCGGTTACCTGCTGACCAAGACCTACTTCAAGGCAGCAAAAATGGCGACTGAGAAGGCGTCAGCTGAAGAGAACTTAGCAGATGTTATGGAGGTGAGTTCTTATGAACAGTTTTGTGTTGGCTTTTATAAGAATCTGTTTTTCTTACTTTAACTAGAACAGTAATATTTTGTATTATCAGGAGGTGGCAGGCGTCCATGAATCTGTCAGGTACAACCACTCTTTCAGGAAGTGTGTGGACACCATTATAACAAAGGTGAGAAATACATGAGGCTGGTTGTTCCCTAGAGTGACTTTACCAAGTTTTCCTTTTCATGTGTGAGGGACTGTTCGTCATTTATCAGAGGAAAGAGGTGGCTGGGTTGTGATTTCCCCAGATACAAATATTTTTCCCTGATCCTCCTTGAGTGACTGGAGGGAAATGCATGACCCTCCTTATCTCCCTCCCTCCACCATAAATAACCATATGTATACACTCACTGGCCACTTTATTAGGTACATCTTGCTAGTACCAGGTTGGGCCCCTTTTGCCTCCAGAGCTGCCTTAATTCTTTTTAGCAAAGATTCAACAAAGTGCTTGAAACATTCCTCAAAGATTTTGGTCCATATTGACATCATACTGAGCATCACACAGTTGCTGCAGATTTGTCAGCTGCACATCCATGATGTGAATCTCCCGTTCCACCACATCCCAAAGGTGCTCTATTGGATTGAGATCTGGTGACTGTGGAGGCCATTGGAGTACAGTGAACTCATTGTCATGTTCAAGAAACCAGTTTGAGATGATTTGAGCTTTGTGACATGGTGCATTATCCTGCTGGAAGTAGCCATCAGAAGATGGGTACACTGTGGTCATAAAGGGATGGACACGGTCAGCAACAATACTCAGGTAGGCTGTGGTGTTTAAACCATGCTCAGTTGGTACTAAGGGGCCCAAAGTGTGCCAAGAAAATATCCCCCACACCATTACACCACCACCACCAGCCTGAACCATTGATACAAGGCAGGATGGATCCATGCTTTCATGTTGTAACACCAAATTCTGACCCGACCATCTGAATGTCGCAGCAGAAATCCAGATTCATCAGACCAGGCAACGTTTTTCCAATCTTCTATTGTCCAGTTTTGGTGAGCCTGTGTGAATTGTAGCCTCAGTTTCCTGTTAAAGCCTGTCTGGCACCAACAACCATGCCACATTCAAAGTCAATTAATTACCTTTCCTACCCATCCTGATGCTCAGAAAACAGAATAATAAACACCCACCCCACCTTCCTCTTTCATAAATAATGAACAGTTCCTAAATCCAAAGTTTAATGTAGCATTTACAGTTTTTACAGTCAGGCTCTGTGGGACAGTCTCCATCTGAGTGTTGTTTCATTTCAGTGTCCCGCTGAGTACCAAGAAGAGTTGGGAAGAAAGATGGAGCATTCCTGTGGTGAACAGAATGTCCTCCCCACCAAATGGAGCCTGATTAAACTTCATAAAAAAGTGACTATTATTTTCAACATTGCACTGTGGTTTTAAAGGAAACAATGCAATAATATGACAGTGCATGTAAACATGAATACTTATTTAAGTGCTTGTGTTTCAGGTAATCTCTGCAGTGCAGAGACACAGTCAGACTGAGGTTCAGTGGTCTATCTTGTTGGACCAGGCCTTTCATCTAGAAGATGTGGCTAAAAGCCAGAGCAGCCTGGTCCGACAGCTGATCCACAGCTTCCCCTCAGCACACCAACACAGCTGGATCCATCGGTTCATCTACACTCCTACTGTGGGTGAGTTCAGTCTGTTCTCAGACTTACAGATGGAAAGTAATTACAGTTACTCATCTAATTCATTTAGGTACAAAATTAAGGTACTATTGATTAAATATGTCTATTTTGTGATATGTTATTTACTCTACTATATTTTAGAGAGACACTTTGTTCTTTACCAGACTTTCAACACTCAGCTAGTGTTTCTTTGACTTTTTTAAAATCTATTTTCTGTCACTGGTGACCTCTTATCAACAGCTGTTCCTTGGTAGCCTGAATACTGCTATTGTTTCACTCCAGTATGAATGTACACCCAGTTTGCCAGATAAATGCCCTGAGCTACCTTTTTATAGAAAGGTGTACTCTCTTAAATGTCTTTTTCAACCAGCTACAGCTTCATCTTCAAGCAGCTAATTTCAATGTCCAAGCTACTTCTGGAACTACAAACTTTTTTTTAAATTTAGTTTTAAGTTTTACTTTTTTGCACAGTCAGAATTAAAAACAATCCTAGATTTTTCCAGTTCAGTTGAATTAGTGTGGTGGGTGTCACTACCTTGAAAAAAACTGCCAAATGTATATATATTTTGTCAGTCTCTGTCAAAGGTTTGAGTTTTAGTGGTGTTAAAATACTGTTTTAAAGGCTTTTCAACCCTCTCGAAACTCATCTTAGCGAAATACTTTACAATTAATCTGTTTGGGATATCTCTGCATGAAATGTCAGTTATTGGCAGCTTCAAACAAACTATTGATACTGTGTTAAGTGCTTAGTTTTAAAACAGAAAATATGTAATGTACGTTAAATATGAAATACTGTTGTTTCTGTGTATGAATAAAATACTTGTGTGATGTGTGGACTATTATGTACAACAGGAATGTCAGTTTGTAATCATGCATTTGTGTTTGTGTGTTTGTCCATCTCAGAGTGGTACTGGGAGTGTGTGTTCAGGCAGGGTTTCTACAGGCTGCTGGCGGTCCTCCTGTGTCTCCTCTCAGCAGCAGTCGTCTGGTCCGAGTGCACCTTCTTCAGCACACACCCTGTCCTCTCCCTCTTCGCTGTTTTTGTCCAGACGGCTGAAAAACAACATAACTACATCTGTATCGAGGTGGGCACGCATCAGTGAGGCTCACAGAAATGCACACACCCAGCAAATGGAAGCTTCATTAAGGAAAACAGGAAAACACTCAACAAAAACACACAGCGCCCATAGGCTGCAGAAGTTTGCAGAAGTTTTGACCACAGCTCTGACGTGTATATTCTTAACACTGAGCACTGTATTAAAATAGTTAACCTCCCCTCTCTTCTTGTTTTGTTTCTCTCCACCAGATGGTGTGTTTTGTCAGCATCCTCTTCCTGTGTGTGTGTGTCTACTCCACGGTGTTCAGGATACGAGTTTTCAACTACTATTACTTGGTGCCACATCACCAGACTGATGCTTACAGCCTGCAGTTCAGCGGCATGTACGTCCCTCATAAAGTCTTAATATAAGATTTTTATTTCACATTATAGGGGTAAGAGGCGTTCTGAAACATAGTCGTTAGTTTGGCCTAAACTAGGGCACAGTTTCTGTTGAGGAAGCACAGTTCAGTCTGGTCCTCTCACATTGTGTTAAACTCCTGTATTGTGATTATCAGGTTGCTTTAATTTATTTTTCCTCTCAGGTTGTTTTGTCGTCTGACCCCTCCTTTGTGCCTCAACTTCCTGGGCCTGATTCACATGGACTCTGCCATCTCACACCAAGACAGAATACAGACATCCTACACCTCAGTGGGTCCCACGCACCAACAAAGACATATTAATGCATACTTATTTAATACATGATCATATAAGTATCTTTGCATTCAAACCAAATGGTCTGATGTCCCTCTTTCCTTCCCTCTGTCAGATTATGGGCTCCATGCGTGTGCTGTATTTCATATCTGATGGCTTCTACATCTACTATCCCATGCTGGTGTTGCTGCTCTGCTTTGCCACTTATTACAGGTAAAACATGAACAGTTAAATTATATTTTAATCAATTTGATGCACTCAAGTGGAGTTGTGGTTGCTTGCCATTGTTAGACTGAACACTTGGCCAGATACCAGATTATTGCAGATATATTGGTATTGATTTTACTAGGTTTAGTTAATTAAGCAGGTTAGATATTTTAAAAACAGTGAGTATTTTGCCTGTGTTGAGAGAATTTTCATGCAAATGTGTTACAGTTTCTTATACAGTCATATTCACAATTTTGCCAAAAGTTTTTTGAAAATATTTTTCAGTTGTATCTATATGGTTAATAGATCATTTAGCAATTATTTAATCTCTAAAAAGAGATTTAAAAAATAAATAATAATAATAATAATAATAATAATAATAATATAAATAATAATGTTAAATAAATAAAAATGAAAGAATAGAATACATTTAAGAAATTAAATAATATTGATAATAAATATAAAAAAATAATTCTTCAACTTTAATTACTAATTGTAATGTTTGAGTAGAATAGAGAAACAAATAAGAAACAAATGATAGCAAATAATACAAAAAAAAGGATTATGTGTTTAAGAGTATATTTGTAATTGTATGCGTCTGTGTTTGTAGCCTGGGCTCTCGCTGTTTGAACCTCCTAGGCTTCCATCAGTACATCACTGACGACAGCTTGACCTCTGACCTGGTGGAAGAAGGAAAGGAACTAATCAGAAGAGGTAGTTTCATCACACATTCAGTCACTAACTGTGTCTGATGTATCTGCTCAAAGTGTAGTGTTTATATGGCTCTTTTATTAAGTTTACATTAGTGAGCCGCACTATTGCAGACATGATTAATTCATTCTTCCTCTGGTTTCCAGTAAGATTAATTCTTAGTTATGAGATTCAGCAGGTTAATTCATTGGTTTATTATTTAACCTTCACTTTTTATTTCTTATTCCTTGGTTAACATTAAGTTGTATATCTGAACGTCATCATTATTAACTCACTGTAATTTTAGTGAAAAAAAAAAAAGCATGCTTTTTAACAGTATGCGCTACATTTTGTTCTTTTGTAGAAAGAAGAAAAAGACAGAAAGCTGAGGATGGAGAAAATCGAAAATGGGTTAGAAATGTTTATTCTATCAAATTGTTTCTCTTGCAGTTTTCCCAACCCTGGTACACCCCAATATAAGTATCAACAACCATTACAACCAACACATAGCCTCAAAGCTGCCAAATAGCACACTGGCCCTGTCTGGTTGTCTCTCCTGGTCTTTTAAAGGAATATTTTGCCCATTTTCAGCTAGCTTTGTATCATAACAATGTGGGTAATATGTGTAAATGCACTATGGTAAATTCCCTCCATCTTGCCAGCAACCTGATCTCCCTGCTCATTAACAGCAAAAAACCATGGGATGATGCCAAATGCACAGGATTATTGCTCCAACTACAGATACTTCCTCATTTTTGTACACCTGCCACCACCACAGACACAAAGAGTATGAAACTGGATCAAGAGGGAGGTCTGCCCCTCTCTAGCTCTCTCTCAAACACAAACCAAACTCAGATCAAACAGTAAAATTAGGCAGTGCCGATCAAATTTAAAGCCATATTCTGTGACTGTATTGTCTCTCACCTAAGAGTCTTCACAAACATATTTTATTGCACTATGTGGCTGTAATACGAGAGTTTGTGAACAGGAAGTGGAACTGTTTCCTGTATTGTGTAAAAAGAGGCTAGAAAAACTGCAATCAAACGGGATAACTAAGCAGTGCTTATCAAATATGAACCAAGATTCTATTAATGAATTGCCTATTTCTTGCCAAGAATGTTTTAGAAACATTAGAAACATTAGAAAAAACAGGGCAATGCATTCTGGTAGTTGTAGGTTTTTGACCTCTTGAACAAAACCGAATGCCACAGCCGTTTTCTCTGGTCATGCAGCACAAATTTCAAAAGTATTTGCATCTTTCTCCTGCATAGACAGCCCAGTTTTGTGAGAGGACCATATCTGCAGTGAAGCACTTATTTGGCTGCTACGTCCTTAATCAGCAAATGAACACCTGTGTGCTCACCCACCCACGGCAACTGTAAGGATGAGCTGGCAGCAGAGCATAGGGAGACACAGGGGAGAAAATAGGATCATAAACACGCAGCACTAACACAAGATATGTATGTGGCTGTTTTGTTTTTCTGTTACAGGCCTGGAGGGAGCGGTATGGAGTCCAGGGGGCTACTGGGCGGACCAGAGCTGGTTACACTGAGTTGAAGGATAACCACAGCAGTGCAACAGCAGAGATCAAGAACAGTGGTAGGGATTAAAAAAAACAGTATAACCATGAGGAAAATATTTTTCTGTGTAGCCCACAGCCACTGAAACTGAACATGATCAGAGGTCTCGATGATAGGCTACATTTCATTCTTCATGCTCATGTGTATTAGAGTTTGTTTCTAATTAATGTACCACTAGACCCTGCTTACATTACACTGTGTATACATTGGTGTCTGTCTTTCTCAGTTATCACATTCAGCAGAGGAGATGGGGAGATGGAGGAGCAGCAGAGAGGCTTACTGCAGGATAATTCCAGTGATGAAGGTTCACCAAACAGACGGTGTGTGTTGCAAAATGAGTTTAACATAGTGTTTAATTGGAACATGTCGCCTTAATCATTTACTCTATCTCCCTTTGTGTGACACTGTAGATCCAAAGGAGGACGTTACCTGTCTCTGTCACCTTCTCGGTCGGGGATCTTTGATGATGTTTGATGACAGAAGACATGGAGAGAGAGCAATGACACTAGCATATGCTGGTACTCAAACTGGAACTGAAAAAAGGACATAAAACTTATCTAGGGAAGTCTGAATAAAAAAAAGATATTATATTATAATGTATCTCAGGAAATAAAGAGGAAGATCATGTATCTGAAACATGGACATACAATCAGGTACAGTCATACATTGAAAGAGATCACTAACTATGGTTAAACTTTTGTACACAGCCAAACCCTTTTGAATGTATTTTTGATATTGTCCTTTAAAAATAATGTTTTACAAGCATGATTGGTGGATAAAAGAGACAAATACACACCAAAAATAACTATTTGTTGTCTGACTATTTCATCACTTATTTTTGAACTGAATAGCTCACTTTGGAAACTGTGAAACAAAAACAAAATGAAAACTGACTTGTGTACTCAAAGAGAAGACATCAACAACCAAACTTGTTGGATATTTTTTGTTTGTATTTATGTCTTGCATTAAAGTCTGATAATGTTACCCATTTATGTAATCATGAGACCATGATTGATGTAAACTGACCAGCACATATGAAGCACTGTCTTAATGGTCTAGTGTGGCATCTGTTGGCAGAAATTGTATAAAATATTCATAACTATGTTTTTATGAGTTTATAATGTAATAATAATAATAATAATAATAATAATATAATAATATAATATATAATTCATAGCTCTAATGTCTTTCCAGAAGTCATTATAACTATTATTTTGCAACTTTTTAGCCAATGAGTCAGATCTCATAGAGTTTTCATTCCTTTTAATAAATCTAAGAGCGTATTTAAATTTTGCATTTGCCCGTTTCCTCTGTTCATCAGAGGCCCTTGTCTGTCTCTACCTGAGTCTACCCATACTTTAAATGCTTCTTTAGCTTCAGCATGGAGCTCTGCCACATGCTCATTCCAGCCAGGCTTGATATTATACCTCTTTGGCAGAGGTTTATAAAAAGGCTTACTAGAGATATGAAGTGACTTCACAATAGACTCATATAAAACACATAAATCAATACTATGTTGTGGGTTACAACAGTTCACATTACCACATCTTATAGCATATTTAGGCAGTTCAATATTTCTCAGCAAAGTGTGTGTGAGAGAAGTGTATTTCTGAACATCTTCATTAGTTAAATTAGACCACTCCAGTTTCCCTGTATCCATGCTATTTGTAACTGTTGTTATCATTGGCAGCTTTTTCACAATGAGTGATACTGAAAAGGGTATGTGATCTACAATGGCATTTTCATAGTAGCCGTGAAGTGGTATGCCATGCTTCACTGATGTAAGTACAACTGCTGGCAGGCATAAGCACCTTGCTAGAGAGTATTAACCCACCATCAGAGCAGAAGTGTATTAGGTGATTAGCAAAAGGAGAATTTTCTTCAGAAATATCAGTGTTCAAGTCTCCTACAACATAGATACAGGTGGAGACATTATCTTGAATGAAGGCGCTAACAAAGGCTAATCTGCTGAGAAAAAGATAAGATAATCCTTTGTTCGCCCCACAGCGGGGAAATTTGTCACATTACAGCAGCAAAGGAATAGTGCTAACAAGAAGCATCAGTAGGAGAAAATTAATAAAATACAAAGCAATATATAAATATGTAAAGTAAGTAAACTGTACAAAAAAAAGAGCAGTACAATAAGCTAACGTAAAAACACAAAGCAATATGATAAGGAAGCATCAAAAAGAAACAGACTATAATAAAGAGACAGACTGAATGGCTGATTTTACATTAATGACCAATGGAAATATAAATATTGCACAGTTTAACAATACTGATATTGCACCTGAGTGATTGACTGTAAGCAGTAAAAAACCAAAGCAAGATATAATAATAAAAAGACAGGCTGAGTAGCAGAATTTACATCATTGCACGTATCAAGTGTAGATATTTCGCAGATAGTATATAAAGATACAGATCCATTTTTTCATTATAATTTTTGGTAATGTCTGGTTTATTTGTTTCTGTTTTTATGTGAGTTAAGATCAAATATATAAAGGAACAGGTAGGCCTACAGTGGCTCTGTGCTGAACACAATTATTACTATATTATTAATATTATTTAGTCATGATAATAGTAATAATAATAATATTAATCATCATAGTAATAATACTAATAATAACAAGTATGTTTATTTATTGTTTATATGTTTATTTATTACTATTATTAATATGTGTATTTATACAGTTCATGGTTGAACAGTGCCAGTGCTGCCTTCCAATGCTCCTCGTAAACTATAAATTCTCTAATCAGTAGTTGACAAATAGAACAGTTGTAAGATGGACTGTAACATAATTGTCTTGTTGTTATTTGACTCTAGATATCAATCTTACTGAAGCTCTTTGTGCGCTAAATGTATGGGATTAGATTATTATTTTATTTCTACCAGTTAACCAATGGTCCACCCCAAAGGCCGTTTTTCCTACAGCAAGCAGAGGCAGCACCTGACGGTCCCAGACCTTAGCCAAGCATAACACAGTGGGACTCTGCTGTTTGTATGGCAAAGATGGATACAAGCTAACTGCCAAGCTGTAATGTGCTGTTAATAGCTGGAGAAACGCGGCCAGGTTGTCAAATATATGTCCGAGTATCACTCAATATACTGGACTCAACATTAATTTCCTGTTTTGCGACTCTCGAGTCTACCGGGTAAGTTAAGGAGATGGTTTTGCTGCTAGCGTTAACGTTAGCTAACTGCTAACCTACAGCTAAAGGCAACTGGGGACAAGCTACAATGCTAACGATCGTTATCTTGCAATGTAGAGTCGGTGCTTTTAGCGTTGACTCGGAAAGTAAAGCTGGTCAAATTATGCTCTGTTCATAAACCGTCTTTGATAATTTGGCTGCCGTTTTGTTGATAAATTATTCTACAACATATATCCTCTACAAGCCACCGTTATGACTGTTGACGTTAGCTCATTCCTGACCTGATGTTATACTGTATGACTGACCTTTTAACGTTAGCTTGTGTTAGCAGTTGATTTAAGTTATAAGCTGCTGTCAGGCCTGTGCTGTGATTTAGCAAACGCCAGATTTTATTCTACCAGCGTTACTTGTTTGTCTTGTAGAGCTGGGGTTGACTCCCTTTAGCCACCCTTTCCTGTAACGTTACTGCTGCTGTGTGACAGCACACTGAGTGAAGCGTCGACGGTAGTATCAGCATCATTAACCAGCTACGTTAATACGAGGCATCTCTTTCTTCTCTGTTAAATAAATCACAACTAATTTTACTCTTGACGTTATCTCTTTGTGCTGTTTGATTTTTTGATTTTTAGCCACTGGTTTATGATTTCACTATGGCATCTTGTTATTTTACTATTTCTTAGTTTAGTCTAAATGTGCGTTAAGTAAATTATGAGTAGATCACTGAACAAATCCATGCACCTGGTCTGCCTGCATTTGCATGATGGAAGGAACCCATGCATAGTAGGGCTGAGTGTATTCGTTTGCATGTTGCGTTGCCACCATCAGATGACATGATACTGTACCAGTGAATATCAGACTTTGGATCTTTGCACGGGTAAATACCTTTTGTAAACAACTACGGGTTCATGGGAATGTTGATGTGTGCTGTCACAGCATTTTGCAGGCATTTTAACAGAATCAGCACTGTTAGGAACAAACGGAGATCCACTTGCTGCACAGGGTTGAGTATTAGGCAATACAGTAAGCATGTGTGTGTCATGTCATGCTCTTAATATTTGTGCACTTAAAACAAAATTGCATGTATATAGTATGTCTACCGGAGTTGCTATCATACTATGATGTCTACATGATCAGATTACATCCCTGTATTCTGTGTTTTTGCTAAAACAGTGGACATGAATTTGGTGAGGCATTAGCTTGATGCAAGCAGAAGTAGCTCACTGCATCTTGCAGGACTGACAGTGAGCTTTTTACACGTCTGTAAGGAACCTTCAAAACCAAAACACCTGTAGATTCCTTCAGTGACCTTTGCCATATTATCAGTTAAAGCTAGCCTCATGTCAGCTGACCACTTTCAAATAATAGGTGTTATTCAGGGCTCACAGACAGGCTGTACTTGTTTAAAACTTGTTATTATGAAATGAGTGGAAAGAGTGTTAACTCTGACTGTGGTTTGTGTGTGCACAGTTTGTAGACAGCTATGGGTGGGCTGGGAAATGGACGTCGAGGAGGAAGATCACCCCCTCTAATGATTGGTGCCCTAATTGCCTGTATCCTCGTTCTGGGCTTTAACTACTGGGTGTCAAGCTCCCGCAACCTGGAACTACAGGTAGGTTAATCTATATGTGTTTGTGTGTGTGTGTTTCTGTGGTTTTCTAGCCATAGCTGACTGTGCAAATACCACCTTTTTAAATAAAGCTGTAAAACCTTAAGTTATTTAAAGGCTGCCCTGTGCTCTTATATGAACACTGCATGGATTATAAGTTAACTGAAAAGTCATTTGTTGGAAATCATCAGCAATCAATTCATATTTTGTCTCAGACTAGATCTTGAAAGATCAACTCCGAGCATTTGCCTAAACTTTATGTGTTTACAGTTTACATGATGAAACAGATTGTTAATATGACCTGACTTTTTTTTTGCGCAAATCTGCAAGACCAGTGCATGATCCCCTTCTGTGGACATTCGATACTGTAGGTCTCATCAGTTCCTCATTTGGTCTGCATTTTTTTTAAGAGTTTTGGGGTTTTGGTTGTGAGAAAGTCTCTTTGAACGTTGTGCAATTTCCTTTTGACAACTGCAGTCAACATAGGCAGCTAACATAACCCAGAACCTTTCTTCTTTCTTCTACTTAAGTTTGATTGTTGTTACAAGATTGTAATAAGATTGTTGTTATCGTTACCTGTGCCACTTTCCCTTTGTCTTTACATGTGTGATACAGACTAAGCTGTATGAGTTAGAAGGCCAGGTGCGCCGTGGGGCAGCAGAGCGAGGGGTAGTTGAGATGAAGAAGACTGAGTTCCAGGAGGAGATCCAGAGGCAGAAGGAGCAGATCAGCCACATAGAAAGCCTCTTCAAGAGACAGCTGGAAGGATCTCAGAACACCTGCAGCCAAGAGAAGGTGCACACAAACACCACTGGTAGTTGTATTGGTAACAAAGTAAAATAGGGACAAATTTATTGTCTATAAACCTTTGCCACAGAGGAATTTTGGGGCCTTAATTTGCTCACTGTTTTGGTTTACACCAAACTCGCACATTATCAAAGGAAAATTACAAACGTGAACTGTGAATACTGATAGTCTCTGTGTTTTTGGTTTCTAGGGCACACTGCAGCAAAACATTTCCTCTAGTACCAAAACCATACAGGAACTCAAAGGTAACTGTTGACCTCAAACTAAAAATTGCATTGTGTTAGCAGCCAGTGGATCTCTTGTGTGGCTCTTATTGTCTGGTGTGTATCTGTGCTGTAGGTCAGTTGAATCAGCTGAATGACGACCTGGGGATGCTTCAGAAGGAGCTGCAGAGTTGCCAAGGCAACATCAAAACCCTCAACAACAAACTCACTTATGACATGTAAGAAAAGATTCCTTTAATCAGTTATATTTGCACAGGTCTGTTTGAAAGGAGATCAAGATGAATCTTTATTTACAGTCAGGTCCATAATTATTTGGACAATGATACAGTTGTCATCATTTTGGCTCTGTACACCACCACAATGGGTTTTAAATGAAACAATGAATACCTGCTTAAAGTGCAGACTCTCAGCTTTCATTTAAGGCTTTTTTCAAAAATGTAGTATGAGCCGTGTAGGAATGACAACCATTTCTTCACACAGTCCCCCGACTTTAAGGGCTCATAAGTATTTGGACAAACTAACATAATCATCAATTAAACAGTCAGTTTTAATACTTGGTTGCAAATCCTTTACAGTCAATGACTGCCTGAAGTGTTGGACACATAGGCATCATCAGATGCTGGGTTTCTTCCCTGGTGATGCTCTGCCAGCCCTTTACTGCAGCTGTCTGCACTTCTTGCTTGTGTTTTGGGTGTTTTGCCCTCAGTTTTGGCTTCAGCAAGAGAAACGCATGCTCAGTTGGATTCAGGTCAGATGATATGACTTGGCCATTGCAGAACATTCCACTTCTTTGCCTTAAAAATGTCTTTGGTTGCTTTTGCAATATGCTTCAGGTCAATGCCCATCTGCACTGTGAAGCATCGTCCAATGAGTTTTGAAGCATTTGGTTGAATCTGAGCAGATAATGTAGCCCCAAACACTTCAGAATTCATCCTGATGCTCTTCTCAGCAGTCACATCATCAATAAATACAAGAGAACCAGTTCCACTGGCAGCCATACATGGCCATGACATAACAGTACCTCCACCATGCTTCACTGATGAGGTGGTGTGCTTTGGATCATGAGCAGTTCCTTCCCTTCTTCCTTCTCTTGTCTTCCCATCATTCTGGTAGTTGATCTTTGTTTTATCTGTCCATAGTATGCTGTTCCACAACTGTACAGGCTTTTTAGATGGTTTTTGACAAACTCTAATCTGGCCTTCCATTTTTAAGGCTAACCAATGGTTTGCATCTTGTGATAAACCCTCTGTATTTATTCTAGTGAAGTCTTGTCTTGCTTACAAGAGCAGCAGGATGAAAGCTGAAGTGTTTGGGGCTACATTATCTGCTCAGATTCAACCAAATGCTTCAAAACTCATTGGACGATGCTTCACAGTGCAGTTGGACATTGACCTGAAGCATATTGCAAAAGCAACCAAAGACATTTTTAAGGCAAAGAAGTGGAATGTTCTGCAATGGTCAAGTCATATCATCTGACCTGAATCCAACTGAGCATGCGTTTCTCTTGCTGAAGCCAAAACTGAGGGCAAAACACCCAAAACACAAGCAGGAAGTGCAGACGGCTGCAGTAAAGGGCTGGCAGAGCATCACCAGGGAAGAAACCCAGCATCTGATGATGCCTATGTGTCCAACACTTCAGGCAGTCATTGACTGTAAAGGATTTGCAACCAAGTATTAAAACTGACTGTTTAATTGATGATTATGTTAGTTTGTCCAAATACTTATGAGCCCTTAAAGTCGGGGGACTGTGTGAAGAAATGGTTGTCATTCCTACACGGTTCATACTACATTTTTGAAAAAAGCCTTAAATGAAAGCTGAGAGTCTGCACTTTAAGCAGGTATTCATTGTTTCATTTAAAACCCATTGTGGTGGTGTACAGAGCCAAAATGACAACAACTGTATCATTGTCCAAATAATTATGGACCTGACTGTATGTTAATTGCCCATTAGCCCAGATTTATGAATTGCCTTAGTCTAGTGAATCTGTTCTTGTCCTATTTAACGTTTCTGTCTCTGTGTGTTTGTACACAGGACCCACTGTCACTCCCAGGTTCTTTCCCAGAAGGAGTTGTGTGATGAGAGAGTGGCAGCTGCTAAACTTGAAGTACAGAAGAAAATGGAGAAGCTTATCCCTCCTCCAGGTGCCTCCTCACAGGTTAGTTGGCTTTTCTGTCTGACAGAAGGGTGTAAATCTTGTTTACCCTAGAGTCTTTCTACAGGATCGGAATCAGGACAAAGGGCCAGGGCCAATCAAGCCATTTTGTAAATTGATAAATATTGGACACACTAAGACTGATCCACCTTTGATCCCTTGCTCATTATAACCCACAACTAACTAACTGGCTAACTTTCTGCTCTTTGTTTTATTGTTATTTTTCTTGCTTGTGTGTCCTTGTGTGTCAGTCTGTGTCCCCTCTCTTAATTGGAGGTTTTTGGGGGTCTGTGAATGCAGCATAGGCAAAAATCTTTCTTTTTCTCCTCAGCAGCAGTTTGTGGAGTCTTGCGTCATGGGGTGGATAATTTATCGGTGGAGCCGATCTGAGCTCATCAGTTCATATCAATAAATGGGAGGAACAGATTTGAGTGAAAGCAAACTTCTAGACCCAGCACAATGAACGGTTAAGTGTCACTTCTAATGCGTGTGATGTTCTACTGCTCCTTATGTGCCCAGAGAATGCTCTGTGCAGTGAAATTGTGGAGCAATGAATAACTTAACAGTATGTATATTCCAACAGCACACCTTATGAACAGTGCAGCCTGACAAAAAAAAAAAATCATAATGTGGCGGCAGATGTTATGTGGCAGATGCCACCAATAAATAAATGTGTGGGAAAGCGAGTCACCGGTTTCGTTCACCAGCACTTTGTCCTCTGTCCTGTTTGTGTAGTTTTTTATTGGTTTTATTGTTTTGTGTGTTTCACTTCTGTGTGTTTTTTTATTGTTTGTACTGTACAACGCTTTGTAATTCTGGTTTTGGAAGGCGCTCTCTAAATGAAGGTGACTTCCTTACTTACTTGCACCAGTCGTCATAAACACATTTTGTTCTTTTGAAACCCTCAAACTTTTTGTCACAAATATGGTACATTTGCATTTGATGTAACACATCAAAACAGCAACTCGTCAGGCTTGGTAATGCTCTAACGTGGCCTTCTTGACGCCCACAACTAATAATTTTTCTAAGTCTGTTCGAAGTCATTCTCTGTAGTCTGTTTACATGCATATTTGGAAATGGAGTTGATGTTGCTAATGTTTATGTAGCAAAATCAAAGGAAAGGACTGGCTCGCTTGCAGTAGATGCAGGTCCAGGGTCTCTAATTTTCTGGTCACCAAGTGTATATAATAAAAAGATCTAATAGCATTAACTGGCTTTGACATTTCTTTAGTTTGTAGTCATTATCCACCCAACTGTTTTGATGACGTTTGATGATGTTTACTCTTCAGCAGGAAAATGCAGTGGATGGACCAGCAAAAGACGATGGACCAGTCATGACTGTGGCTGATGCTGTGAAGACCGCAACTGTTGTAAGCCACACACCAAGCATCTCTCAGTCCAAAGGAAATGATCCACCCGAGCTACTGACCAATGACATCATTGTGGACAAAGGTAATAGATGTTGATGTCCGGGTGGCTCAGTCTACTTAACTGAAATTTAACTCATAAAAGCATGCAATGACAGGCATATTTATGTGTGTATGCACATACTGTACACATAGTGCATTTTGTGCATGTCTACATATCTTTGTGTAGACTTTTAATAACAAATGTACACCTCCACACTGCACTTGCTTTCTGCCTTGTTACTCTATAGGTCCTGATGCCCCAGCATACCTGCCTCCAGAGAAGGATCTCTCCAAAGTAGAGTCTCAGCCTGTTCCCTCAGCAACTGCAGCCAAGCAGGACATTTTGTCACCACCAGAGGGAGCTGTTGAAGGAGAGAAGGGTGAGACAGAGACCAGTAAATCTGTGAAGAATAACCTGACTGAGGACAACGAGATGGAAGTGATGGATGTTCATGAAGAGGGTGCTCAGACAGAAGGTAGAATGCCTGGTTCACTGAAAGCAGTGAACTAGTTTCTTATTCCTATCCAGGCGTGCTCAGTGAAGAGCTTGTGAGATTTTAATAAAGTTAATTCACAGTCCACTTATGTCTCCAGAGGCAGACCCTGGGATGGAAGGCATGCTGATTGGCCGGGCAAAGGCAGACGAGACACCTAATGGTCAGAAACTTGAGGATCCAGATGAATATGAAACAGACGATCAAGTCGTGGGTGGAGTCGATATGGAAAAACAACAGCAGAGTAAACTGGCTGAAAATATAGGTATGTGAAAGAGTACATCCTTAGTCTCCAAGTCGGAGTTTGTCTAAGTGCAGTTGACCAGTTATAGGCCAGAGCTTAATCTTGAGTGAGGGATTGTTTACTGGTAAAGATTAAAAAAATGAAAGCACTGTGCTAAAAAGGGGTTTGTGTGTATTTATGTCACCAACCTGATAGACAAGGACATGGAGGATGAGCTGGCTGACTATAACGGAGACGATGAGAACGAAGGCGAGTTTGAAGCAGACAAACAAGCTGAGCTTGCTCAAATCTAAGGTATACACTGAAACACACCGATGTCTTCCTCACTGACACCACATTGACACCTCGCATTAAAATGTGTCTTGTATCCAGATACTATCTAGATGTGATTTAACCTGATTACATTTACACCTCATGTTAATATGAATCTCCAGTGTCCACATTGAGATCTGATCACTGTGTCAGGCTCAAACAACTGAACTGTATTTAGCCGTTCTCCATCATTTGCTAGGCCTTAGTTTCATAAATGGCTCGGTTGCGATATGAATTGCTTGTATACCTTTGTTGGACCAAACTGAAAGCAGATACTTGGTCTGGTGTTGACTTCATCCATGAATGACTTAAGTATCTGTAAGCTTTCTTGCTGCTTTCTTGCTAGTTAGTATAGCTCGCTAACTGGCTAATGGCTGCTGTCTCACTGGTTTGGAGCAGTTGAGTGCGATACACGTAGTTGTTTTATGTGGATTAAAAACACAATTTACATTTACACTTACGTTCAATGAGGTCTCAAGATCCCATTGGATCACAGTTGGTCCTTAATGTGGTTTGAATGCATTTACACCTGTGCTTTCATGCTGTCAAAGTATGATAACATCAGCTCAACATGTCACACATTGAAATTGCTAAAAAGTACATCAACATCGATATGAAGTTGTTTTAGCTCAAGACATTTGTTCAGTAATGATCGTTTTTCATGTCATGGCAGCAGATTAAAAACAGTTAAACATCAATTATCATGGGGCTGTTGTTGTGTCAGTTTCACTTCTGAGTATCTGAGCTGTGCTTATATTAAACACACCATGTGCAAAGATCTGATGTCTGTTAAGTGAGCACAGGTAGATCTGAAGTGCCGCTACCTGTAGCTAAGCCAGCTATTACCCTCTGGAACTGCCAATAAAGGAAATTATTTGGTTTCAGATTTCTACTTTTCCACACCTTTTTTCCTTGATCACAGTGTTCGAATGGACATACATTTTCTTTATGAGAGGTTTTTAGATCTTTTATGAGTTTTAATGTAAGCTTGCTATAGACACTGTGCAGCTATATTACATGTTATTTACACAATGCTGAATTTTTCTTGCAGTGCTGGAGCTGGAGAAGGAGCCTGCACACCACATAAGGAAGCAGGATCCCTTATACACCTCAGCACAACCACACCATACAGGTTAATGCAGCCCTCCCAACACAGTAAACACAAACAAACCCAGATGGAAATCTATAAGAAAGACTTGTGACATCACATTGGGTTAGATCATAACCATTTGTTTCCTGGAATGTCTTTTATTTGTCATCGTAATTGGATGCTGTATATTTGATTACATGTTGTCAGATATTTTATCAGTTGGGATCATCACGTTTTAAATTTTGGAAATGAATGAAAATATGCAAATATCAGCCAGGCATGTACATTCACGTTTTGTATTCATATGCATCTCACTGTATACAAAAAGCCATGTGGTGACTGTGCTTACATTCATTTCATTATGGTGACATACTTATCAGTACTTTCACCTGCTTAGTTGTTCGTGTTGTATGCAAATTGAACATCTCAGCGTCCTCAGAAATCAGTAGATTTTAATTAGATGTGTTGTTCATGTTCATACTGTAATGACTGTAACTAAACAAGAGAAGTGATGATAATGTGCAGACCCTTATAGGGTAACTGTATGAGGTGTGATATATTGTAGAAAGTGTAAATAACCTCAGTGATCCCAGTGACAGAACTCTACAGCAGCATCTTAAACGACGCCTTAAGTTCTTCATGTACGCAGCCTCTCATATGAAGGACTCTGATTTTGGGTTAATGGCCAGGACGTTTTGCTGTACAACATGTCTGCCAGTGATCACAGATGAGGTTTTCCATAACTGTAGTAAATGAAGGAAATGTGTGGAGGTTCTTGTTAGACAGCCGTAGGGCTGCAGCCAATGGTTATTTTCATTGTTGATTATTTTCTCGATGAAATCTATTAGTTGTTTGGTCTATAAAGTGTCGATCAGTGTTTCCCAAGGCCCAAGGTAATGTCCTCAAATGTCTTGCTTTGTCCACAACCCAAACATATTCAGTGTACCGTCACAGACGAGCAAAGAAACCAGAACATATTCACGTGTAAAAAGCTGGAATCAGAGACTTTTTTAAAATTTTCTTAGAAAATTACTCAGTTATTATTATTGATTACCAAATTAGTTGGTGATTAATTTGATAGTTAACACGTTGCACCTCGAGGCTGCTGAGTCCAATTGTGTTTTGACATAGGCAAAATACAGCCAAACAGGAAAATAAAATCAGCTGCTTTTTTGATTTCCATGTGACCTAAAATGCTGTAAAAAATAAGGCTGGCTTAAGAGACATGGCGCATAATAAACAGGCAAATTCATCATCTGGATTATATGCTGATGTAACTTTGTCAGGTTTTAAACATACTATATCATAATGTCTGTAACTGGACATATTTGATCAATGGACAATTTCTAAAGCGTTACTTTGTTTTTTTGCTTTGTCATGAGGTTGGATCTGTGCTGTGCTCATTTGGGATCAGTTAGATAGAAAAACAGTTTTAGATTTTAATGAACAAAACATCAGGATCATATTAGTAGATCAACAATCCTTTGTATTTCGACGCATGCCTTATCAATTGTGTGTACACCAGTTTTTCCCTACGGTCAGTTGCCTCTGACACAGTGGAGATCAGATGCTCATGTTTACCAGTTTTAGACCTTTGTGGATGCTGCCTCTGTTCTGCTGGGTTAAAATGACTGTATAGTTTGTGGGAAGGAACTTTCCTTGAAGTGGGAACCATGTGTTGTGCTTTAGGGTTCCTGCGTACCAGCAGATGTGAATCACTCCCTAGCTGTGTTAAACTGTATTAGTCCATTCTGCGTCAAGCTGCACTAATGACTGAACTAATATTAGGGATCAGAAATAACAACAAATTAGTACAATGTTGTGGGGAGATCTTTTGTTGCCTTGTGTTTTATACAGGACAGATGATACACTTTATTTTCCAGGTACTTATTTATAAGTAGTTACTTTAACTAAATACCAACAGTTACACAGTATGTTGTCATTTTAACTGCCATAAATTCCTTAATGTTTTGACATATCATCAAGAGTCCATTCCTAAATCATGTTGTTTTTCCAACATCTTCAACCCCACTGTTTCAAGAACGACTACATAGGTCATAATAGTTACATCACAGCTCTCCGTGACGCTGAAGCTATGATGCCTGTGTGTTTCATACCAAGCAGCGGGTCTTGCTCATTCTTTCACTTCTCTGCTGATAAAAGACCAGGAGTTGCTGGATGAAACACATCAGGTAAGACTATGTTACATCTATGGAACATAGCAAAGATATCTAGCCAGCAAGCTAGCTGGTGTTGGTGACATGTATGTGTGAGATGAGGGACGTAGTTCACTGAGCGGTTTCACTCAAAACTAAATGATACTATGACAAACCTACGACAAACTAGGACTTTGTTGACCTACAGAATGACCTTTTTATTAACAAACGTGCAACTTATGGCATAATTCAAATGGGAACAAAAAAATATTCGTCATTCACTGTTGACCACTGTACAGTATGTTTCTGAAATTAGGTCGATGGGGGCTACAGAAAAGGTGAGGAACTTCACCTTTCTATTACAACTGGGCTGCCAGGCATGATCCAATCCCACAGAGCCTATTTTATACACAAGCTGCGATGCTGAGGTTTCCCAACAGCAAAAAAATCTGACAACAGTTTCTACAATGATAAAATAGAAAAGACCTGTAGAGTTTAATTTTGAATGTAAAGGTGCAGCCATTGAAAAACCTTTGTTTTGACTTAATAATGGCATACATTAAGAGGCATTTACAGAATATATATGGAGCATTAAGAATAACAAGAGGAATATAGATTACAGAACCCTATGAGCAAAAGTATTTAGGTGTTATCAAACTTCATTAAGCTTATTCAAGTAAACTATTTAAAACAAAAATACCTTTTTACACTTAAGACTCACTGAAGATTCCTTAAGATGGTAAAGTACAGTCTTTTCATGTTTATTTCCTTATAAAAAAAACTGGAAACTTGACTTTGATTTGCAAATTCTTGTTCCTTTTATTTCACTAGACTTTAACAAGTAACTTTTCCTTTTGAGGAACACAAATTAAAGGAACAGTTAATCAATTCAGTTATTTCCAATGAGAGTTGATATTATCATCTCAATTTTCAAATAATTTCACATCCTAAATAGTGTTGATTATGTTAACTTATTTTTTATTTATATTATGATCATATTAAATCTGCGCCTGGCCATAATGTTTCAAAGTAACTATAAAAATACAGGAGTGCTTGTGACAAATTCATGGAAACACTTCGACACTCAGAGTGTCCACAGCAGTTAATGAATGCGGACACTCATTTATATCAAAGTGTCTTTTGTCTGCCTGTCTGTCTCCCTTTGGTCAGTGTCACAGGGGAAACATGGTACCAGATTTGTATCATGTCGTTTTATTTTCAAAGTTGCTGTAAGTTGTTGTGGGTTTTGTTGTCTGACACTGCTGCTTTGTTATGTCTGAAAGCTTCGTCTGCCTGTTTGTGTAAAAAGTCCCATTTTTGAACCAGTTCTGTTTACCTGGAGATGAAATGTTTTTTGATTTTTTTTTTTTTTATAAATTGGATTAACTTTTGTTGATTTCATTTGATTGAATTTTTATTTTATTCTTAACTGTTGAACAAATTTGTGAAAAATTTAAATGATCATAGACTTTATTGATGATAGAGAATAAAAATTGTTTTTATTATCACTATTGAGACATGGTTTCATTTGGGATATATTGACCACACCAGATGCCACTCCTGTCAGCTAAGAACAGGAAACTGAGGCTACAGTTCACACAGGCTCACCAAAACTGGACAATAGAAGGTTGGAAAAATGTTGCCTGGTCTGATGAGTCTCGTTTTCTGCTGCAACATTCAGATGGTAGGGTCAGAATTTGGTGTAAACAACATGAAAGCATGGATCCATCCTGCCTTGTATCAATGGTTCAGGCTGGTGGTGGTGGTGTAATGGTGTGGGGGATATTTTCTTGGCACACTTTGAGCCCCTTAGTACCAACTGAGCATGGTTTAAACACCACAGCCTACCTGAGTATTGTTGCTGACCGTGTCCATCCCTTTATGACCACAGTGTACCCATCTTCTGATGGCTACTTCCAGCAGGATAACGCACCATGTCACAAAGCTCAAATCATCTCAAACTGGTTTCTTGAACGTGACAATGAGTTCACTGTACTCCAATGGCCTCCACAGTCACCAGATCTCAATCCAATAGAGCACCTTTGGGATGTAGTGGAACGGGAGATTCACATCATGGATGTGCAGCCGACAAATCTGCAGCGACTGTGTGATGCTATCATGTCTATATGGACCAAAATCTGAGTTTCCAGCACCTTGTTGAATCTCTGCTACGAAGAATTAAGGAAGCTCTGAAGGCAAAAGGTGTCCAACCTGGTACTAACAAGGTGTACCTAATATTGTACAAAAGGAGCTGAAATTTAGTCAGCTGTACATGTATATTCATTTTTAATGATGTCACTCAGTTTACTAGATGTCTAAATAAAATCAGAGGACAACAAAGACGTGAAGCCTGATCATCATGTTTTAGTGTACTTTATGAACACACTTAAAATAAGTTAACTCATATACCTTATCTTTTTTATGTACCTCATACACGTCAAGGTTTTCACATTGAATTTTCTTAAAACGTAATTTTGAGTGAGTTAAACAGATTTTTATTGTCTTAAAAAAGCGTGAAATTCTGTTCCAGCAAGGAGTTAAACATCAAAATAAGTAAAGATGTTTTCTGATGTTCTTTATATGTGTGACAGTTGTTGGTACTGGTTTGAGGAAGCATTGCAGATGGTTCCCTGGCCTTGAAAGCATCTTTCCTACTGCTGTTAGTTAGTTATTCTGCACTTAAAACAATGTAAACCCTGTGAATGGTTCTTCTCTGCAGACTGTCCTGTCTAGGTTTCACAATGCAGATGCCACAGTATTCACATGAAACTGCCATATGAGGTAAAACAAGATGCTGTAGACTTTTCCGTCTCAAATGTTTTCATTCAGATAAGCACAGATAAATACATAGAAAGGTTTCCATATGATCAGATGATATGCACTCATTGTTGTTACAGCTCTTTTAAAGCCTTCACAAAACTGTTCAGAAGGCAGCTTAGAAAATTTTCCATTGGCCAGTTCTTCTTGCAAAAGCACCTCCACTTGTGTCTGACTCTCGTGCACGCGCACACAGACACACACACACACACACACACACACACAAACAAACAGACTGTCACAGATGCAGATGTGGATATTGTCAGTCATTTAGGTCCAGTTGTGAATTCTCTGGTCTGGTTTCATCTCATTCAAGAATTGGGTGTATCAAACACTCCTTTGCACAACTTTACAGTCAGGTGTATCACATACACACGTTGTTCAGACTTGGACTGGATCAGGGCCATTGCACACTTGTTCAGGTGAGGGTACAGTCTTCGCGGCTGATGGTCTTTTTGATTACGCTCTCATAATCAACCGGCGGTGCAGAGCAGCATCAGATAATCTTGACCACAGGAAAGTACTTGTGAGCTGAGAAGTCAAATTCTGGAAGCACCTGGGGATACAGAGAGGCATTTTACTTTAACAGAGTTTTCACAATATGGAACATTAACAACATTAAGATTAATCTATCACAATGCACAGTGATTAAACACAATTAGTACAAGAGGAATACTTCGCCCACAAAATGATCGTCCATCCACTTTCAACCACTTATCCAAAGCCGGGTCACGGGGGCAGCAGGCCCAACAAAGCAATCGAGCATTCCCTCTCCCTAGCAACGCTTTCCTGCTCCTCCTGAGGGACCCCAAGGTGTTCCCAGGCCAGATGAGACATGTAATCCCTCCAGCATGTTCTGGGTCTGCCCCGGGGCCTCCTACCAGTGGGACGTGCCCAGAACACCTAACGGGAGGTGCCTGATCAGATGCCTGAACCACCTCAACTGACCCCTTTAGACATGAAGGAGCAGCGGCTCTACTCTGAGCTCCCTCCGGATGCCCAAGCTCCTTACCCTATCTCTAAGGCTGAGCCCGGCCACCCCACAGAGGAAACTCATTTCGGCCACTTGTATCCACGACCTCATTCCTTCGGTCATTACCCGGAGCTCACAACTATAGGTGAGGGTTGGGACGTAGATGGACCATTTGTTTATTAACTACTCGCCCCATGTTGCATTAAAATTCATGAAGTTTTCTGTCATGCCTCTAAGGTGAAGGGAGAATCCAAAAACAGAAAATTCTTGATAAATTATTTGCATTTACAAACTCTCACACAACTCTTGCAGGATAATCAAAGTCTCATTTCTCCAGTCGTCTGCTCAGTGCTTCACAAACACGGGCAATTTGCTAAAACCTCACTATTTAAAACACTTCTGCATAAACAGTCTCACACAAGGATGACGTAGCGCGCCTGGGCATGCGTTTGACCTCTGCTCAGTGGAATGCACGAACAGGGTTAAATGCATGCTCTCGCCCAGACACGCTACGTGCATGCCTAAGTGTTTTCAAAAGTAAGGCTGTAGCGAAAATACACGCGTTTGTAAAGTACCAAGGATACGACTGGATAAATGAGACTTGGATTATACTGTATGAGTTGTGTGAATTTGTAAACTGATGTTTTAATATAGTTTTGCTGCTGCATCAAGAATTTTCCCTGTTTTTGGATTCCTCGTTCACCTTTGAGGCATGCAATAAAAGGTTTTCTTCATGATGCGAGTAACTGATATACAAATGATCCTTTTTGTGGTTGAAGTATTCCCTTAACTGCAACCGGTAAAGCAAATGATAACTCAGGATATGTGTATGTTGTGTTACCTTGGTCTCCTTCTTGTGCCCTCCAGCCAGGAGCTTCATAACTACAATGTTGGGCTTGGCCACCTTCAGTATACGGTTCACCTGTTATCAATCATTAACTGGTTATTGACAACATTTAAAAAAGGTGAAACTTTGATTACAAACAAACCATTTAACATTAGTTTAGAGCAATACAGCAGAAAATATCATGATGCCATAAAACTGAGGCTGCTATGCTTCTGAATGATGTTTCAGTGCTATCATCCTAACTACCAGAAAGAGGCTCAGGTCAAGATGAGAAACCCTTTCAGGAATAAACTTTGATAACTGAATTTGTGCTCAAGAATCTTAGGACTCGTAGCTCCTTAGCAAAACGAAATCAAACAACCTAAAACACAAAATAGGTTTCCTTTAACAGCAGGCAGTTATTTTACAATAGTTAAATTTTCTGACCTCAGGGTCGGGGCTGGGCACATTTTCTAGGATGAGCTTGGCCTGCTGGAAGTGTTTGCTGGCGGCCATGTAGAGGTCAGCGGAGCCTGGCGGAGGATTGTACTTCTTGAGATCTGACATCTCCTGGAGAGGGCAAAGAGGGCAAATTCAGAGAGGGCAGGAAGATTGGAGTGCATGTCGGACAAAAGGTTAAAAAGGAAACCATTCAAAGTGGAAAGGTAGTGGGAATATGATCAGGGACGGGGATTAAAAGAAGAGTGAAGGAGAAAAGTCAAGAAAATGGGTTCAAAGGTCAGGGAACAGAGAGTTTGGAGGGCCTGCTCCACATCAACAGTACCTTGAACTGGATGTAGTGCACTGGTGGGGGCGTGACCACACTGTTGAAGGGGGCAAAGCGATGCTCGTAGCGAACCTGCTCGCTGTCCAACTCAAACTGAGGCTTACGCACCTTCCCATCCATATCCAAAGCTACCATAGTCTGAAGAGAGACGCAGAGCATGAATACTACTGCAGTGACTGTGTCACCTGGGAGAGAGGAGGGGTCAAAAGTGCATCTGTACTGATGTCCTACCTTGTACATGCCGGCACACATGTTCTGGTACGCTTGGCTCATGGTGATCTCTTTGCTCAGAGGGCGAACTGCAGAGGAAACCCAAACATTACATCATTACGAGGACAAGCACAGACAGAAAAATCACAAGAGTATGGTGCGGTCACACTGTGAGAATCCACCTCAGCCACAGAGGCTACAACAGAGCGTACCTTTTTTCTTCTTCTTGGTCTTTTTGCTGCTGCGTCCTTTCACCTGCTCCTCCATAATCCGCTCCTCTGCCATCTGAGAGGAGTCGGCTCTGCTCAGAGTGGACATCAGCCACGCGTAAAGAAACTCTGACAGATACCTATAGTCAAAAACAAACACATAGTCATTCAGAGATGATTAAAAGTGCACCTGCGCATACTGTGGAGAGATTTAGGATACATCCACACGTTTTCATTTCAAAATAACGTTTTAAAATGGGGTCTGAATATGCCGGAGTAGTGTGGCCACGTTTGTACATGTAGCAATAGTGTGTAACGTGTATTAAAACAAAAATGTGTAAGTGTGGAAGTAGCCTTGGAGCCAGCAACAGCTACAGCAACACACAAACAAACTTGTGCACTCTCACCAGTAGATGTAGTAGTACTCATGCATGCTGTACAGCTCCAGTTCAAAGCCGCTCAGCAGGTACTGGATCATAATCCTCAGGTTATGGTAGAGGATCCAGGTCCCGAGACAGGCTAGATGCTGTCGCTGAGGCTCAAGTTTCATCAGCAAGCTATGCAGAGCTGCATCCACCTTCTCAGCCTGCAGAGCACAAAAGATGAATTTAGCAGTTGGTTTATAATTTATAAAATCGCATCTGCTCCCAGAGTAGGTGAGGTATCTCTTGTGTGTCGCGAAATATGAAAACAATAGTGTTCTGTTTAAATATTGTGAAAAAGAAAATACGACTGGGCAAACAGCTTTAACCCTTCACCTCATCCTGCAGTGTGGCAAACTCTTCAAGAATGTGACCCAGCTTG